ATGATACTATGAAAAACACAAGCATTTCCTTGTAAGGATTTAAAAGTAATCAGAATATCCAGTTAGTCCTTAGTGATTGCCAGTGACATGAAGGTAAATAGAAGCATCATGAAACCCATTCTGATTTTTTTGCTGAAATACATAGTTCCTGAAATGGAAGTCATTAGTGTAATCCTGATGAGAGGAATGAAAAACCAAAAAACAGCATTTCAGTTGTATGTAATAAAATAGTAGAATACATAAATTGATGGAAACTTACACACTCTTTCATACTATAGGGTCATTCTACAGATGGCCCACTAGCCATACTCTGTATATGGCTATTTATCACTGAGTCCTTGTTTCTTAGATGAGTAGCCTCTCAAAGAAGTTAACATAGAACACTGACTGAAAAGGTCAGAATTAAAATTCAACACCTGCCTATTGAGTGTTCCCCTCTTAGGTGCCTAACACTGTTCTTGGCAATGACACAGAACAGCACAACTCAAGTGACTGTAATGAATACATGGCAAAGGCTACAAAGTGTAGCAGGGGGAGAGGCAATGATGGGAGGGCCTCACTGAACGGAAGTCTCTGCCTGTGATAGACAGTCCTAGAGAGAAGGGACGGTGTGTTCGAGAAAGTGTCTCAGAGGAATGAACTAGGCCACTGGTCACAGAAACAAGTAGGCACCAGTGTCACGGAGCACAGAGCGCAGCAGGAGGGGGTGTGCAGTGGAGGGCACGGAACATAGGATGGGGAGCACTTGTGAGACTTGTCAGGAGCAATAGCAGGGAAGGGGCCCTGTCTGTACAGAGAATGGAAATAGGGTGAGGGGTTGAGAGGCTGTTGTGATTCAGGTAAGGCAAGTATGTGGCATAGGCTAAGCTGGCAGTGAGTGAAGTGGTGAAAGTGGGTGAGATAAGATTTGTTGAACATAGAACTGATAGGATTTCTGATGGACTGAACACAGGATTTGAGGGAGGGGAATAAGGATGACTCACAGTGTTAGGAATGGGACTGGCATCAGGAGGCCAAGGAAAGACATCTTCACAAGGTCAACTGTCATGCCGATGAGAAGGGCAAAGGCCTAATGGGCTTGACAAAATAAAACCATTGGCATCCATGATAAAAGCAACTTCAGTGACATGGTAGACAGAGCCCATCTGAAGTGGCTTGGAGAGAGAATAGGTTGTGAGGAAGTATAGACAGTGACAACAGAGAATTCTTCTGAAAAACTTTACTGTGACATACAGCATGAAAATGGAGCAGTAGCTGGAAGGAGCTTTTCAGAAAAGAAGAAAAATACATTCAATGAAAGAGAAGTCAGATACACTCTTCAAAGAAAAAGGAAAAAAAAAAAACTCCCAATGTTAAATGGAAGTTAAGAGGCTTGGCCAAAGTTATCAACTGAAGATAATATTATCATAACTTAAAGGAGCCCTAGAAGACATAAAAGAAAGTTACAAAGAAAAGAATCACCCTGTAGCCAGTGGAGCAATGCTTATAGTGTTTAGAGAACTTTGAGACCTCAAAAATTGTTTTTATTTCTTATTTTAACTATTTGGACAATATCAATGAGAAATACCAACTTTCCAACAATTTATTGGACATAGTGCCTAAGGCACTTGACTGCTAACCAGAAGGCTGGTGGTTCAAACCCACCAGCCACTCCTAGGAAGGAAGGTTGGGCAATCTACTTCTGTAGTGACACTGCCTCGGAAACCCAAGGAGGGGTCGCTATGAGTCAGGTCTGACTGGACGGCACATAACAACAACAACAACAATTAACTATTTGGACAGTATCAATGAGAAATACCAACTTTCCAACAATTTATTGGACATGCCAGTACTTTAAATAGAATCAATGAAAGATCCCTTACAAAGTGTATATGCAAACCTTACTTCCAATGTAAACTACTATTGTAGCCTCTCCTAGTACAGGTGACTGTGTCTGCATTTGAATCTTAGTCAGGTTTTACAGACTGTCTTCTAAAAGTCTCAAAGAAACCTGGGGAATGACTGGTAGTTTGTGTGCTTTTGTAACTTCATTTATTACCTGTATCCCCAGAACACGGCTCAAGTTATTCTTCCATAGCTTTGGCAGCAGATCTGCGGTGATAATAGGCAGGCCAAGTAATTAGTCCACAAGTCAGAGAAAGACCCCAAAAGAAGGGACTCCTCATAGGAAAGAGCTGCTGGTGATCAGCGAGCTGGGAGGAGTCACAGACGCAGACAGAGATCAGCGATTTTCTTTCTTAGAATCTCGCACTCGTCTTTCTGCTTTGCCGCCTCCCAGTCGGTTGCTCCTTATTTCTCTCCTGTCTGATGCTTCATTGTTTCTCCTTCTCTCTCCTCTCATTCCTTCCTTCTTTCCTTCTTCCTTCATCCTTACCTCCCTCCTTTGCCCCTCCCTCCCTGTTCCTTTCCTTCTCTCTTCCTCCCTCCCTCTGTCCATCCCTCTCTTCCTCCCTCCCTCCCTTCCTTCCTTGCTCAAAGCGTCTTAAGAGTAAGAATCATGCGGACAATTAATATCTGTTGTTTGAAGACACTGTCAGATGGTGGGGACCAGGGGAACAAAACCCAGCTCCTTAGAAGAAGCTCTCTTAAAAGCATAATGGTGGAGGAAGGAAGGAATTCAAAGGTGAGATTTCATAGGCAGCCAGATGAGGAATGAGTATCAGATGAGGGCAGAGGCTTTAGTGATGATAGACGGGATCGGGACAGAGGAGAGGGGAGACTGCTCACCAGGTCCACTCGCGCTCGGCCATGCTGTGTCATCCCTGTTTTCCCATATTTTCCACCAGGCTCTGGGAACTTCCAGGGAATCAGGTTTGCCCCTCCCTTTTGTATTTGCCACCTCACAAACAATGCGTGTTTCCCAGGAGTGTAGCAATTCGCAGACTCTGTTAGAGTCTTGTTAGAAATTTGGATGCAGTTCTATTTTGAACTGCCTTTTTTTCTCATTTTGTTCTTACGTAGATCTTGTCAGGACGCATAGAGTATGGGTTTCTTGAATCCTTTGTATTCCTACACTTGTGCCAAATGGTAAAAAGTAACACCAATGAAATGAAACAATATTAAATGCTTCTAGTGTTGATTAGTTTTGAATAAGGGACCCGACTGTTAAGATGGAAAGGCCGATGCTTTTAGCCTCATTGCTAAAGAGTGATGAAGGTAGCCCGTGGAATCGGTTCCTGACATCAGCGCGGAGTGGAAACGCTCCTGGGGTGGCCGACCGTGGCAGCGCGCTCAGTGTCTGCCCTGGAGCTGACCTCACAGTGATTCTTCCCTGTCTTTTCAGGTGGAAATTGAGAAGCTGGACTACCATCATTACCTGCCGCTGTTCTTCGACGGGCTTTGTGAGATGACGTTTCCCTATGAGTTTTTTGCCCGCCAAGGAATCCACGACATGCTGGAACACGGGGGCAACAAGATCCTTCCTGTCATCCCTCAGCTCATCATCCCGATAAAAAGTAAGTGAGCGGGTGGAGCCGCATCTCTCAGTGGGACACAGTGCTCTGACAACTTGCTAAGTTAGGCCATAAACGCAGTGGACTGAGGCCAGCCTGGGGTGCTGGGGACTTCCGTTGACTTGGGAGGCCAGATACCCCAGACTCCAAATGTGTGCCATCCTGGCTGCTACCCTGGAGCTTATCCACAGGCGTAAACTAAGTTGTGGTGGCTGCATGAATTTAAATGCTTCATGGTGATGATGCATGCGTGAACATTAATGCGACATGAAAAACAGGTGAAGTGTGTCCCTTTGTGTGGATGAACTGTTGCTGACTTTCAGGTTCTTTTGCAATGGCAAACCTAGTTCTTATATTACAATATAAGCATAATCACATTCAGTATCTTTGAGGAAGTAGAATGCACAATGTTGAGAAAAACACATCTGAAATGGAGAGGAGATTAGTGTTTCAAAATTGTTGAAATGTTGATCTACGAAAGGTGACATGGAGTAACTCTGGGGTGACACGCCACTGGCTTCCCCTGTTGGTGAAACGAGATGATGTGTCCTTTCCATGGCCAAACCCCTCCTGGTGTGTGGGCCTCTGGCTGAGTTGTCTGGGAGAAGCCCCCTTCAAACCCGTTTCCAAGATGTTCCCAGGAGACTGCCTCACACAACCCAGAACAAGGGCCTGAGTTCTTTCTGTCCCTTCTTCTTGCCATGCTTTCTTAGTGACTGGTGGCCCGTGGGAACAGCTCTTCAATTCTAAGTGGTCAGGCCTGGCTCCTCTCTGCATTCACCTTGTTAGTATAGCGGGTCCCTCCTGCCATCACACACTAGACCCTGGTGGCAGCAGAAATGGCCTGCCTACACTGCATGGGCCTCTGGTCACTCCACAGGCAAGGGGAACCCCACCTCTATCTGCATCTTGGACTGCTGCAGGCCTTTTCACACTGTGGATGTGAGCTCAGCTGCCCCTGGGCTCTGAGGGACCAAAAGGGCCCTGCTTCCTCCAGGCCCAAGCCTGCCTGCTTTCTCACCCCAGGGAGATTGGCAGGATGACTCGCAAGTCTCCAGTGTAGGATCACTCATGAGATGTTTCGTCAGAGCAGGAACGACACCGTTCAATAATTCCCATGTCTGAGCTGTTTTACCCATCCGTTGGTGGTGGTGGTGGTGGTGGTTGCCTTTGAGCCAGCTCCAATTCCTGGACGCCCCAGACACCGCACGGTGAAACTGCCAGTCCAAGGCCATCCTCAGGGTCACCAATCTGCTCTAGCACAGTGTTGTGGTCACTGTAGATTTTGAGTGCCTTCCAACCTAGGAGGGCCACCTTCCAGCACTGTATGGGGCAATTCTGTTGGGATCCACAGGATTTTCACTGGCTGATTTTCAGTAAGGTAGAGGGTCAGCGAAAAAGGTGAAGACCCTCAATGAAGTGGAGTCATACAGTGGCTGCAATGGTGAGCTCAAACACGGGAAGGATTGTGAGGCCAGCCCAGGACCAGGCAGGGTTCCGTTCTGTAGTGCGTAGGGTCGCTGTGAGTTGAAACCAACTCGAGGGCACCTAACAACAACAATTTTGTACAGTAGATCACCAGCCCGTTCTTCATAGTCTTAGAATGGAAGCCATACTGAAACCTGTCTACCACGGTTGTCCCTGGTAGTATTTGAAATACTTCGAATGGAAGCCATACTGAAACCTGTCCACCACAGTTGCCCCTGGTAATATTTGAAATACTTGTGGCATAGTTTCTAGCATCGTAGCAACATATAAGCCACTGCAATATGACAAACTGACAGATGGGTAGTGACATTTTATCCATAATCTCTTTTTGATTATTTAAATTAAGTGTCATTAGAACCCTAGATTTTCAGCAGATCAGCTATTACTACCTAAATTAAATCAACTTTGAAACTCACACTTGT